CCTCTACTGGTCCAGCCCTTACCGACTGGCTCCCCACCTATACTGCCCTCACTCGCAGGGTCCCTTACCTGGTGGGTCCCTTGCTTGTACTGCTCTTCACCTATAGAGTCCCTCACCTCACTTGGAGGGTCCCTGAGCCGGGAGGCCAGGGAAGGGGTTGGAGCTGAGGGGAGCTTTCAGCTCACAGCAGAGGCGCTGCGGAAGCCAGTGCCCTCTCGCCCCCTGGGCTGCAGACCCCGTCCCCAGTGCCCCAGGCCCGCGTGGCAGAGCAGGGGAGGCTGTCCCAAACGGCCTGCTTGCTCTTTCCCGTTTCTGCCCAGTCCCTAAGCCACCTGCTCTGCTCTGGCTCTTGCTGCTTGGGCTGTTGGGGGATCTGCTCACTGTAAACCTGGGTGTCTTGCTGTGTCTCAGTTCCCCTGCCCCCCCCACATCAGATGGGAGGGTGATGTCTCCAGCAGCTGCCCAGCCCTCAGAGGGGAGTGAGGGGAGGGCAGGGACCCAGAACGGTCTGAGAGGAGAGGGCAGTTATATGGGAGGAAGGAGAGAGACATAGAGCTAGAACCTGCCTGGCCTAGGTCCTTGGGAGCCAGCCCACCAGCAGCGTCTCCACACCAGGCAGCCCTTGGGGGCCCTTCTTGCTGCAGCCCCTCCCCCTCAGCTCCTGGCTAGCTGCACAGCATATAGATTGGGTGCTCAGTTGCTAGCTGATCAGTTGCTATGGCACTGCTGAGTGGATGGCTCTTCCCCCTCCCCTCAACTGCTGTCTCTGGGCACTTTGGGGTTGGGTCACCGCTGAGGGCCCATTGTATTCTGGCCTCTGCACTTTAAGGCTGGGCCTGGCGCCTGCCACACTGGGGCCGGAGCCAGGGCAGTCTCCACATGCAGCTGCCTTGAGACCCTCTGGGCTGCTTGTCAGAGGGTCCCCCAGTCCTGCCCCACAGGGCGTGGGCCTTGGAGTTGCTGGGTTAGAGCAGCTCCCAGCAGCTTCTGTTGGCCCAGCTGGGGGCCTGCGCCCCTTCTTGAGAAGGAGCCTTGGGGTGCTTGGACCTGGGCAGACACACAGGACAGACACCTGTGTCCTTGGGAGCATCGGGGCAGCAGTGACAGACTAAGCAGCTCCCCTTGGTCCCCGTGGTCCCTCGGCCCTCCTGGCAGCCGCCTTCTGGGTACAGAGCAGGGTGCCCTCGGGGTCACTTTAGGTTTGGAGCCCTCCCTTGAGACCCACAGGACAGGGATTCTGTCTGGTGGGTCCCCAAGGGGCTGGGTGCCCCAGTTCTGCCCTGAGGGAGGGTCTCAGGGTGGTTGTGACCTACCGCGTGCTGCGTCCCTGGGGTCTGGGGGACTCAGTGGGCCAGAGGCATGTGCTGACCTCCGCCTGTGCCCCCAGAGAAGAGCCTGGAGCAGGAGCTGGCCACCCCCATCCTGGACATCGAGGACTTGGTCAAAAGTGGCAACAAGCACAGGTGAGACCCTGCAAGGCTGCTCTCCCTGTCCTAGGCCTGTTCTCCCGTGACTCGCGGGGGCACATTTTTTTCCCTTTGTTTGCCTTTTTAACCATGGAACTAATAGATGTTCTGTGTGGAAAAGCGTGAGTGGGCCTGAGGACCAGAGAGCGAGAGGGGACCCGCGCTCCGTCCCGCCCCCTGCCCCCCGCAGGCGGCGGCTGTGTGAGGCGGACGCTCGCTGGCGACCTCTCAGAGCATCGGGGCTTCAAATTGTGACGCGTCGTTTCTGCCCATCTCACTGACCTGCCCGGGAACGGGTGGGGTTTTGGTTTGATGGGCTTTTAGTAGGTGAGCCACTCCCAGCATCGAACACCGGTGGCGTCAACGGCAGTGCAGCAGACCCCGGGGCTGGCCCTAGGCTCCGGCTCCCGTCCGAGCCCCTGCGCACGATGCAGCAGAGGAGGCCGCGTTCGGCCCGCTGGGGGCCGTGGCCCGCTGTCAGTGCCGCTGTCAGTGCCGCACGGCTGGAGCGCCTGCTCCCGCCTCAGCTTGCGGGAGCACCGCCGGGGCGCTGGCAGCTGCTGCGCGCTGGCTCATGGCGCCCTCTCTCGGTGCTGCCCAGGCTGTGCCCATACTACCTGGCCCGGAACCTGAAGCAGCAGGCCGACATCGTCTTCATGCCCTACAACTACCTGCTGGACGCCAAGGTGAGGCTTCTGCCTGCGTCACTGATGACCCCTGACGTCGGGTGTCCTGGGGTTGTGAGGGCCGTCAGAGCTTCAGCTGATCCGGGTCCTGGGGTGAGACCCTCTCTTGGAGCAGCGGGCACACGTGGGGAGACCGCCCCCCTCAATGGTCAGAGCTTGGAGCCCACAGGAGTGGGGGGCGGGCTGGTGGCAGTGATGAAGCCGCATCGTGTGGCTGCTGCTGGGCTGGCCCTGCCCCAGTCCTGGCAGCTGTGAGCCTGGCTCTCTGGTCAGACACTGAGGCGGCCCAGGGAGTGGCTGGTGGCGAGGCCTCGGGATGCATGCATACGTGCCTGTGTCACCCTCCCATTCTCATGCAGGGGTGTCCCCCTGCCTGTTTCAGTGGCTCGGACTTCAGGTAACGACAACCTGCAGACGTCCCCCGTCTGGGGTTCAGGTTGATTGAGCCACCATGCTGGGCATGGGTCTGGGTGCTGGGAGGCAGCAGGGAGCAAAATGAGCATCGTGTGTGGAGCTTTACTTCCGGCGGGGTAGACCGCAGGGCTCAGCCTGAGCCGGCAGGACCTGAGGGCTAGAGGGTGTCAGCATGGGGCGAGGCGGCGCCAGCACCAGCAGGGCGGCCCTGGGCCGGTGAGCCGCAGGGGAGTGGTGGGCACCCTGATGCCTGGAACCCTGCCTAGAGCGCGTGGCTAAAGCAGGGGGTGGCGGGGTGCAGGAGCCTGCTGGGGGCCCGGCTCTGGCACCGAGAGCCTGCCATTGGCGAGCAGGCGCATGTGATGCTCCCAAACCTCACTTTCAAGCTGGCTGCTCGGGCCTGGGCCCCAGCTCGGAGCAGTTGTATCAGAACTGACCAGCTGCTTCCAGGAACTCAAGGAGAGGCAGAGGGTCACAGAGCCGGACAGCATTGACAGAGAAGAGCAGGTGGGCAGCTCACTCCTGATGGCGAGACTCACCGCAGAGCCCGGAAACTTGGTGTGGCGAGTCCAGGACGGGCCACTTGCGGGCACTTGGTGTTCGACAGACTTGCCCGGTATTTTGGTGGGAAAGGCGAGGCGCTTCGTGCTGTCCACAGTGGTACTGGAGTAGCTGGATGTCTGTGTGAGAGGAAGTGGGCCTCGGCCAGCACTTCCGGCACGTCACGGGGAACAAACACAGACACGAGAGCTGCAAGGCCAGGACGCCTCTGAGAGGACCTGGCAGGGGCAGGCCGGGATCGCTTGGCCACACAGGGCACTCGCCGCAAAGGAAAAAGTCGAACTGTTCTTCGCACTTTAAAGCCTCGCGTGCTTGGAGGAGTAAGGAGAGTCGAGCACATCGGAAGGCGAGTCACAGGGAGGAGAGCGCTCCTGGCACACCTGTCTTCAGAGGGCCGCGCTCGAGGCGCGCAGCGCTCTCGGCACTCGACAGAAGCCCAGCCAGCCGTTGGACGAGGCCCGAACAGACGCCCACGTCATGGAAGGGGCCAGCCGAGTCAGCCACGCGCAGAAAACGTTTCGCAGATGCAGATGAAACGCCCGGGCTGATGGCGCCGTGTCCCACCGACGTGGCTGAATTTAAGACCTAAGCTGAGTGCCGTGGGTGAGGACGGGGCGCCCCGGAGGTTCACCGTCACAGTGGGGAGGAATGGCGCCCTACCCTGGAAAAGCCACGGCATTCTGGAGCTTTCACAATCACCAAAGCCAGGAGACAACCGTGTCCATCGACAGGCGATGTCCCTGAAACAGCCACATGCTGGTCTTAGGAGTCTGTGCTCACGCGGGAGCCCCGGCGGGCTGGCTTTGTCCCAGTCTGCCAGCACGGGCAGACTCGGTGTCTGCTCGCAGGAAGCTGGTCGGAGGTCGTGTGGCAGGGATGTTGTCTCCTGCTTTGGGTGGTGGCTGCGCGGTGCACACAGGTCTCAGAACTCAGCTGCACACTTAAAACGGGCACTTTATTTGTGAAGATTAAAATTCAAATTAAGTTGATGACGAGAAGTACAGGTACCAGACCCGCCCTGAGATCACCGCCCTCACACCCTGGGAGTTAAAATAAACCTCCTCTCCAGGCGTGCGCCGGGCAGAGGGCGCTGGTCTTTCTGTGGCTGTGCAGCGTGTCGTGGCAAGGGGCCACGGGCTTGCTCCTTCGTGCCGTGCAAGTGTCACCAGGATGGACGTGGGTGGGCAGTGCCCGGCAACCGTGGCCGTGGTCAGGAGACGGCCTGTCCCCACATCCTCTGGCGGTGTGGGACTCGCTCAGGTGGGGAGTGCCTCCCCGAACCTCTCCCTGCCGGCCGCGTGCCTTAGTCTCCCCTCCGCGGGCTCCCTGGGGGCGGCGGCTCCCCGGCACTGCAGCCCCGCTCCCTTCCCTCTTGCTGTAGAGTCGCCGGGCACACAGCATCGACCTGAAGGGGACAGTCGTGATCTTCGATGAAGCTCACAATGTGGTGAGTGTCGGGGCGGCCGTCCTGAGGCCTTCCTCCTGCCCACCTCCCTGTGGAGAGCAGTGCAGACCTTTCTGTCCCAACTGCTGTGGCCCCGGCTCTCAAGGCCAAGCAAATCTAGATGTCACCGGCATGCCCTGCCCCCCCGTTCACGTGGCCTCTGTGGGCGCCCCGTATTTCCAGGAATGGCAGCCTTGACCAGGGCACTGAAGGCAGGCCACTTGGGGCAGCCGCGCAAGCTCTGGAGCCTGGGGCGGCTGTGCGAGAGCTTGGCGTCCTGAGTTGGTGGCGGCCATCCCCAGCCCCCACTCGGTTCCAGGCACTTGTGAGGGATGATGGGCCTGGTGGGCCAGAGCTGGCTTTTGAGAGCAGCTAGAAATCTTGAGGTTTTAATGGGCAGTTTTCATTTATGGCGTTGTTGGCAGCTCAAGCAAAGTGGTGTTCCAACACCAGTCTGGGTCAGGTGGCCATCTTGGGGCCCATTTGTCACTTGGCCGTAAAGGCCGTGGGGCGAGGCCTGAGAACACTCCGCTTCCTTCATCTCCTGCATCCCAGCCCCCCGCGCCCCGTAACACGGTGTGCTTGCGCTCTCAGGAGAAGATGTGTGAGGAGTCGGCGTCGTTTGACCTGACCCCCCACGACGTGGCTTCCGGACTGGACATCATAGACCAGGTTTTGGAGGAGCAGACCAAGGCGGCACAGCACGGCGAGCTGCACCTGGCGTTCGGTGTGGAGTCTAGCGCAGGTGAGCTTCCGGGCGGGACGCGCAGACGGCGAGAGCGGGCCTCAGGTCCTGGAGGCCGAGTCGGCGCAGGGCCCTTTCTCGTTGGTGTTCGAGGACAATGTCAGCTTCTTCAAGAGGCTTCTCGGGGCCTCGCAGACCAGAGGGTGGGTACCGCCCAGTTAGTCATTCTGGCGTTTTCCGAAGACCTGCCTTTTCTAGGCAGCATGTACTTTCCCTGTACTGTATAAAAGGAAAACAAACGTGTTAACCACAGAAACACTTCACTGACCTGTGAGCACCGTCCACACGGAGCCCCCCACAGACTTCTGCCCGGCGTTTCCTCAGGGGGCGCAGTGGCCACGCAGAAACCCGGTGGGCGTGGTTCGGCCACCCACTTGGTCTCTGCTGGCGGCTGGTGAGGGTCGACTTGCTCAGCCAGAGCCCGCTGTGGGGCGGGTTCCCGGCGGCGGCGGCTGCAGGTTGCTGGCATGCATGGTCGGCTGTGCGCCTCGGCGTGCGGCTCAGGCACGCGTGGTCTCATGTCACCGTCTTCTCACAGTCACCGACATGAGCAGACTTCGGAGAGCAGGGCTCCCCGCCGGCTCCCTCTTTGCCCTCCTTGCCCAGGCGCCTTCTTCTGACCTCGCGTGCGTCTCTGGCTCCCTTTGACCCACTCATTCGTAAATGGCATTTGTTCGTTTAGCACGGAAGTTTTCAAATGTTTTGCCTTCAGGATGCTTTAAGTTCTTAAAACTCACTGAACTTGTTTTATGTAGGTTACATCTATCGGTAATCACTGAATTAGCAATGAAGACAAAGTTTTTAAAGATATAGTTATTCACTTAAATAATAAATTGTTACATGTTACTTAAGTTTCCTAGGGCTGCTGAGTGGTGTAAAGTGACAGAAACTGATCCTTTCACAGTTCTGGGGCCAGAAGTCTGAGATCCAGGTGTGGGCAGAGCTGGCTCCTTCGGGCCTGTGGTCCAGGCCTCTCTCTCAGCTTCTGGCAGCTGCTGGCGGTCCTTGGCTTGTAGACGCATCGCTCCAGTCTCTGCTCCATCTTCACGTGGTCTCACCTTAGTGTCTGTGTCACTGGGCTGGGGCCCATCCTGGTCCTCTGTGACCTCATCTTTACTCGGTCACATCTGCAGAAACCCCGTTTCCAAGTAAGGTCTCATTCACAGGTGTAAGAATAGACTGCAAGTGTATCTTTTTGGAGGATGCAATTCAATCTATAACAAACTAACATAAGTAACGTTTTTCTTGAAAAGTAACTTATAACTTAAAAATTAGACGAGTAGCATTGTTTTGCAAATCTCTTTCCTACCTGGCTTATTGGCAGACAGATCTTACACTTTCTGCTTTTGATCTGATGCGGTATCACCTTCAGGTACTGGTCCCAGTTCCTACCGCTGCTGCGACAAATCACCACAGACTCGGTGGCTGGAAGCAACGCAGCCTTGGCATCTGACAGTTGTTAGAAGTGCGAAGTAGGTCGGCAGGGCTGCCCTCCTTCTGGGGACTCTGGGAGGATCCTGTTCCAGCTTCCAGAGGCACCGCATCCTTGGCTTGTGGCCTCGTGTCACTCGGATACCTGCTCCGTTCGTTGTCCTGTCTCTGACTCGGACCTCTTGCCTTCCTCCTGTAAGGACCTGTGATGGCATTTGGGGCCCAGCTGGGTGATCAGGCTCACCTCCCATCTCAAGATCCTTAACGTCATGACGACTGCGAAGTCCCTTTTGCCACAGAAGATGATATACTCACAGATAACGAGGATGAGGGTATGGACATGTCAGGGTGACCGTCAGCCTCCCCGACTCAGCCTCTGGAAAATGGGAAAAGGCAAATAGCACACTGTCACTGCTGTTTAGCAGTAGTGACACCACGAAAATAGGTTTGGCCTTACAGTATCCTGACAGGTGTCAGGGCCCCGGTCCCTTAGCCACGCCTGACGAGCTGCCGTTTATGTAACCAGCTCCCCGTGGCAGGAATTTCTAAGAGCTGCATCCAACACTGGGATACACGTGTCTGGGTAAACAGGTGGGTGTTTTTCTAGGAAGTTACCTAGAAGTGGCTATCTGGGCCATTGGTTGTGCACCTTAAACCTCGTTATTCTAAAGTTGCGTTTTGTGTTAAGAGTCAGGTGTTCTTCGGGGCTGCTCTCCTCGCGGCCCGGCCGCCACGCAGTGTGCAGAGCGTTGATTTTCCTGCGTCGGCGCTGACGCTCTGTCGGGCCGTTACCGTGCGCTGCATCTGTCCCTGCTCGGCTGTCTCCCCCGGGGCCGCACGCGGTGGCTCCGCCCCGAGTTCCAGACTGCGCGCTCGCTCCCCAGTCCTTCTATCTGTTCTTCTTTGACTTAAAAAAATTCCCCCTTTACCTCCTTTTTTTAAAATTGAGGTAAAATTGGCACACGAGTTTCAGACGTGCCACACAACGATTCAACATTTGTCCCCCCCCTTTCCTCTAAGGCAGCGGTCCCGACCTTTTTGGCACCAGGGACCGGGGCTGCTGTGAGAATCTAGTGCTGAGGATCTGAGGCGGAGCCGAGGCGGTGATGCCAGCTCTGGGGAGCGCCGCAAACACAGACGAAGCTTCGCTCACCAGTCACCTGCTACGTGGCCCGCTCCCTGACGGGGTCGGGGCCCCCTGGCCTAAGGCACCGTTGGCGTCACATATTCGCTTCTGTGTTCTTTCTAATGCAACTCTTTTAAAATGAGTTTTGTTTTCTAGTTCCATTCGAGTTCCGTCACTTCCTTTCTGAGTTTTTGGAAGTCGATCTGTGTGGTGGTTTCGGGTCTCGTATCATGTTCTAAACGCTCGTTTGGTTTTTCTGAGCACCATTTTCAAGCAGTGTCAAGCAGACAGAGCTTTGCTGGTAGAACTCCGGCTCATCCTCCCCAGGCTCATCCTCGCCAGGCTCCCGCTTGCCAGCGCCCTGTCCCATGTCACGAGTCCCCCTCCACGAGGACAGGCGGTCTTGCTCTGCACTCTCCAGGGACGCCCCCTTCCCTGTGTCTCGGCGTGTTTCCTGGGAACAGGGATGTTCTCCTGTGGCCAGTGCAGGACACAGGTGGGCGGTCGCCAACGCTGCGCTCCTGTCTGATGGCGGAGCGCATCTGAGGCTTCCAGCTGCCCTTGTCACCGCCCAGAACCCCGCCAGTGGGACGTCCCGGCCCGGAAACCGAGTGCTGTCCTGCGTCTGCTCTCTGGGGTGTGATCTGTCTGGACAGTGGCTCAGATGCCACATTTCA